ATTGTGGGCACTGAAATGAAATTCAAATGATATAAACCAAAGATGAACTGCCATAAAAATGATATACCATGTTTCTCTGAATCATACTGAGAATGTTCCGTTAAAAGTTTGACAAAAATATCTACATGGAGATATCTTAAGTACAAGCAGAATGTATAATTAATAGGTTCAGAGAAATAAATCTCAATCAAAAACTCAAGATTATTCCCCAAATGGGATATTCACACTATAATGTGGTGATACCATTTTCTGTATTTTAATTAGAAAACAATGGAAAAAAACCAGCAACACTTCTAGCCAAATACTTATGCTACTTAATGATCATTGTAACACATATAACATTATAGGTTAATAAATGTGAAAGCTAAAAACCCAGGAAAAAAAGACATTTCATGTGAAAGAAAGACATGTTACCTTTTATTTCATGTTGGCTTGCTTCCCGTCTTCTTTCTAGTTCTTTTCTGTCATAATTCAACCTCTTTAAGCACATAATTCCATATTGTAAACTTGTTCTATTTTTTTTTAAATAAAAGAAAACACATTGAGTTTACTCAGCAGGTGGATAAAGTTTTTTGATTAGCCATAGTCGACATTATTCACTGATTCTTAGGGCAAGTTAATAAATTACATTTGCAATAAAATCCTTCAGTATTGGAGGGAAATACAATTATAATATTTCTAAGCACAAAATGTTTCTAAATAATAGGAAAAAATGTTTTCAAAATAAGAAACACATAGTTTTGAAATCATCATGGATTATATTGTTTATCTATATGTCTTTGTCTTTCATTTAGCTATTCCTACAGTAGGTATAGGCAAATTAATATTATATTCATTTGAAAAGAATTTAAAAGTCCCCATTATGGAGACAGTAAGGAATTTATAAGAAATGGATTCTCTCTTCTCAAGCTGATGAGAAAAATAACACAAAAACATAAGTAAGTTAAGTAATAGGATACAGAACCTAAGAAATCACAGGAGACAGAGAAACCAATTAAGGGATCAGTACTGCCAAAATAAGGACAACAGCCTTGAGCTTAAAAGGAAAATCCAAAAACCAAAGATGTTCTGAGAGAGAAAATGAGAGGGTTTAGTGCCATTAGATATAAAGATGCAGAAGATGTGACAGGAAAAAATAATCTGTAGGCTTCAAGAGCAGAGATCATTTTATCAGTGATGTTTTACGTGTTTAGGAACATAAGCAAATTTTGACATATACATTGGCTAGGCTACAATTACATGTGAGATGCATTTCTAAGCCCGCATTTTAATAAAAACAATGTTGGGTCAAATATTTCAGAATCAGAGAAAATGGAAAGAAAACTGCATTAGGTAGGTGGTGTTGGTTGAACTGTATTCCCCTAAAATTTACATGTGGAAGATCTAATTCTCAGTACTTCAGAATGTGATTGCATTTGGAGATAGTGCCCTAAAAGAGGTAATTGACTTAAACGAGTCCATTAGGGTGGGCCCTAATCCAAACTGACTGGTGACCTTTTAAAAAGATTTGGACACTTGGTAACACCAGGAATATACATTCACCGAGAAAAGATTACGTGAGGATGCCGAGAGAATGTGACCATCAGCAAGTCAAGGAGAGAGGCCAAATAAGAAACCAGACCTGCCAATTCCTTAATTTTGAACTTGTAGCCTCCAGAACTGTGAGAAAATAATTTTCTGTTGTTTAAGCCAACCGTCTGTGGTGTTTTGTTGTGGCATCCTTAGCAAACTAATTCAGTGGTATACTAGATAACACTGATAAAATCACTATCACAGATATTGGGCAGCTTGAGATTAAACCAATGCTTCTTGGTCAGTTTCTGCCAAGTTTTGATATGGAATACAAAATTATACTATACAGAGGAAATACAGTATCATGAAACCATCTGTCAGATGGAAAACTGGGATGAAAAGACCATAGGATGCAATATACAGTCAGGTAGTACCTGCTTTAAGTCAGAGATTAGCATAGCTTAAAATGAAACTTGGGTATTTCCCAGAACAAAAATCCTGTCATTTGGGTAATTCTTTAAAAAAATTCATCATTATAAAACTTTTTTTACTAAAGTAATGAAACAGTATTAAAAGGCAATCTAGTGAAGAATGGAAAAACTGGACTCCAGAAGTCTAATGCAATCATATGAAATATGAAGGCCTAAACTTCTCTGACAGTAAGCTCACTCACTACCTCACAGTGTGTACACTACAAGGCAGCTGAGAGCGGTATAAAGTTGTTTCTTCTGTTAACTAGAAGTCACTCACCCTAGTATCTACACCTGTGTTAAATGAAAATTCACATGCTCAACAGATAAAATATAATTCTTCTATCACATAATAATGATCTTAAAACATAAGAAAACTTATCTAAAGTCTTCCCTCATCCCATTTACATGCCTTTAATTACTTCAACTTTACCACCAGACTTCTATCACTTTATAACAATTTGATGACCACAAATAAATACAATTTCTTTTTCTTATGTCACCGTATGGTAGCACTTTTGTTGTCCCTGCCAATAAACACAGTCTAAGTATGCCTGCCAAGTCATTAACCAAAATGGAGAGATTTGTGCCAATGATAAATTCCTTCTCTTTTGCATACAAGTTTCTGTTAAATTATGGATTATTCAGCATAGCAATAGGTTTTCTAAAAAACTTGTTCTATTTATCTTTACCACATTTAATTCAACAGTGTTAACAACTGCATTAAAATCCAAAATATCTGAATAAGTTTGAATCAAAAGCCCCAATTATCCTCTATCCTAATTCTGTGTCATCAACGTATCTAATTTTTATACCATCTTCACTTTCAGTCACTGATTAAATGTTGGACGGAAAAGAAGCAAATATAGTCTCCCAAGCCAAAATCATCTACAGTTATATTAACTTATAACCGCAATCAACTATATGAGAAAAAAACAACTAAAATCCAGCTGACATTGTTTCACCTAACACAAACACAGCATTTATAATATGGTATTATAACAAACCCCTTTTTATCTGCTGGATGGTAAATAACTTGAAAAAACACATTGCCTTTTGTTCATCTGCATCTTCACAGTTGCCTAACACAGTATTCCTTTTACTGAAATTAATATACAAATAAGCAAAGTCACTAAAAGACATAGAAAAATAAAAAAATACAAATATGTCTTAGAATAATAATTTCTTCTCAAAGTTGCTCCTAGAATATTCCTAAATTATAAAATTTATAATCACATATTTGTGTAGGATTGAAACTATGAATATTTATCTTCATAATTTTCTAATATAAACACAACTATAAAATTGTAAACACTGAATTTTCAAAGAATCTGGCAAAGAAATAGACTCATCCCTATGAGGATAATTTTGTACACATGTATTTCCATGGACTTTGGGAACATAATATGTTCTAAATTAGAAAGTTCCTGCAGTTTGCTTCATGAAAATATTTTTCAAAGTAGATGTACGCAGATGTTTCAAGTGACATATATTTTCTATCTCGACATCCATTTTTGTTGTAGTAAGGTATAGGTAATATATTGTTTCATTTTTATTATTCTTTAGAAAAAAAAAACCTACCGATGGAAACTATCCACCATTTTTAAATGGACACGGAGATCTTTTTTTGTTAGGTGATCTAACATTCTTGCATCTACCAAGCATTCCATAAAGTAACTTCTGTACTGAGGTAACCCCAGGCTGGGAAGCCATTCATTTCCAATCCATTCGTGGTTCATATCTCCATAAGCCAGGGTCTGTAGAAAAACCGGACACTAGAATTGTTTTATAGCAGTCAAGTTTCTTAACCGATCAGATGAGATGGTAATTGGAGAATATTACCTATTACTATAACTGATATTTAATTGCTATGATTTGTGAAAATGAAGCAAAAATAATATTCAGATTGTATGTATTCGATTTGGTTTGGTTCAAAATGGAACTCTGCATACATTTATTAAAGTATTTGTCTATTGAAAATGATTGGCTATTTATTTTGTATTCTCAAAAGGAATTACATTTTGTCCACGTATGTATTTTATTAATAATGAAATTATTATATAAACTCTGAGCTTTAAGATTCTGTCTTTATATTGATAGATTTATCTCATTTTTTTTATATCTGTCATTTCCCTCTTGTCAATGCCATTATTGCGATTTCCCTCTTATCAATGCCACTACTGCCATATTGCTACAGTGTAATGGCAAATGTTGATGTGAAATGGTAACCTCAGTAAACAAAAAAAGGAATGAAGGGTTTGGAGAGACAGAATTTTGAAGCTTTGTATGAACATTGTTGTTACCTAGCAAAGCAGGTAGTCAGCTTTCCACAAAATCATTGAAAAGAATCAGTCTTTTCTAGAAATCTGTCAAGATAGACTCTAAAAGAAGCAGGGCAGGATAAAAAACTAAGATAACCTAATTATTTAATATAACAAATAAACTATTCTTACCAATACTGTTCAAAACAGCTAAAATGAAAACCAAAATCAACCATTAACACTAAGCCAATATTTTAAAATAATTATTATTCTCTATTATTTTTAAAGAATTCCTATTTAGTTCCTTATCATGCCCTAAATTCCCAATTCTAAGATGTATTTCTAGTGAAAATCTAACTGTCCCTCTTATTTTCTGTGTTCTCAGGAATGATGAAATTTTTATCAAAATCATAATATAATACAATCCTACTCTGTGTTTAAATACAGGTCCTAATATAACTACCAAAAATTTTCTTATATTGAAAGGTTTCAATCAGATTGAATATAACACAAATTTTCTCTTTTAGCCATGCAACATGTGGAAATGTAGAAAAAATGCACAGCTTCCTTAAAAACATGTATGTCTGTTCCAAGTATAGACAGCTGTCTCATATGGCATCTCAATAAATGCTAACTACTCTGTAGTCTACAACACCAACACATGCACCTCCAACCCCCTCTTCATACAGTTTCCATTATATCTGAAAGCATGTGCAACTCCAAATAAGTCTTTTCTTTCTTCTTGTTCCCCTTTTAGATTCAACTTGAATGCTTCCTGATTAAATATATTCAAGATGATTTCAGAGGAATTTAAGTTTTGGATCATTCTTTTGGGAAAGAAAGAAAAGCACCCTTTTAAAAGAGGCAAGGTATGAAATGGCAATCATCTTGTTTGAAAAATATTGTAATTTGAAAAGACATCTAAAGTGCTAAACATAATCTAGAATTACATATACAGATCAGCCTAATATTGAACTAAGTGAAGGTTTATAATATTGTGACTTATGACAGTTTCTTAATTTATATCCTCAGAGCCTATTAAGTGATATTAACAGTCTTAAAGCATATGTATCTCCTACCTGGGCCCAGCTTCCTTCCTCAGATTCTTTCTGTGTTAGCAGCAGGAAATGATTAATAAAGCAGGTAAATATAAATTAATATCAAATCAATACAGTAAAACTTTTCTAGCAGAAGCAAAATTGTTATACAAAATAATTTGTATCACAGGCAGATAAACACATAGATTCTTACTCAGACCCACAGTGATCAATTTTACAGTTCAAAGGCAATTACACAGTAACTACATAGTTTTTAATTAATTCTAATTTAAATGTTAAATGCATAATTTTGTGAACATTTGATTTGGTCATTCCAAACCTTTTTTTAATTCTTAAATGAGTGTAATTTTCAAAATGTAATGTGCCATAATAAAAATTTCTGATGTCATATATGCGTATGTATATATAATAGGGAAATCTTACACAAAGTAAATTAGTGAAGTGAAAAAACTAACTATATTCCTCCAACAAAGCTTTGTGATAATCAAATAGATTTCAACAGTAGTCAACAAAACAAAACAAGACAAAAACCAAGTACAACAAAACTAAACTAAAAATGAAATTAGTACAAGACATTGGTGATTTTAGCCATAACAAATTTGTAGATAATTTTCAAATAAGGATAACACTGAAAAGACGTTAAATTAAACAGAAGTTGATAAAGATAAAATATATGATATGCCCAACTTTGTTACTTTACATGAAAAAATGACTTTTATAACATTTTATTTTTGAAAGTTACAGAGTCCCCAAGAAATTCTTTAAAATTGTGCTTTTCAATATCAAATTAACATAAAGCTTTTTTGGTTTTTGGTTTTTTTTTTTTTTTTTTTTTTTTTAGGTCAAGCTTTGTATCTAAGATGGTAAAGCACAAGAAACCATATGATCATATTAAAAATGAATATTCAATCTAATATTTTCTATTACCAATTTAATTTGGTTTAGAAACCTGTTACCTGTGAACATGTCCAATACTAAATGGTATTTGTTACAAAAACTTCCAATGTTGCAACATGATTTATTACATTCTTGCTTGTTTGTGTACTATAAGCTCTTATGATATTAGCCACAATCTAATACTATTTCATTTAAAAATTTCAAGAGAATACTGAAGAATAAAACTGTAAAAAATGTTAGTTATTACTGCATATAACTATAAAAACACACCCTATTTCTCTGGTCTATAGTAAACAAATTAGTTTCCTCATCCAAAGAGCAGCAAAGTCACTTTCCTTCAGGTTCAACAAAGCCATAGGACTAACCGTTTTTGCTGGAGCTGCAAGATTTTCCATTTCTTCATGAGTCACCCAAACGTTGCCTGAAGGCTAGTGAGGAGGCCCAGAGGGAAGCAGAGGAATCCATGGGAGGCAAGCAGTGGTAAAGAAGAAAGGCAGCACCTCTGTGAGTTAACAGCAACACAGCAATACCACAGTGCCCGTGCCCCTACCGTGTGCACAAGAGAGACAGCATGGCTGGTTTGCTCAGAGCTCCCTGTTTCTTCTACTCAAAAAGATTAACTAGAAAGAGGCATGTTGGGAAGCTCTTGAGGGGTAGATTTAAAATGACATTTCTGCAATTATGAATCAGAAAATAAGCATCATCAAAATTTGCATTCCAATGGTATGTGGCTATCAGATCAATTTTTTTAATAGTGGTGAACTGATTAAATTTGAACTGTAGAATAATGAATTTTTAATCAGAAAACAATGGCACATGCATGTGTTGTGTTATTACCAAAATTTCCTTTCACATAATTTTGATTCCCAATATCCTTTGAAGGAAAAAATTGGTTGTCAATATAAAGCTGGAAGCATTATCATAACTAATCTGGAAACCAGCATCAGCTTTTTCCAAATGATTATTTTTTTGTGTGTGATTCAATAAATATTAAGTGTTCCTGGATTCTTGCAGATGAAAAAGAAATGAAATGCTATTTTTAATTTATTTTTCAGCCACACTAATAATTGTCAAATTACAAAATCCATATATTTCCTAATTCTTCACCAGTATTTGATACCATTATAGAGAAGAATACAGTGTAAAAGAAAATTCTTTCTTTAACAGGCAATATTCTATTGTAAAGTCCCATTTGCTTTGTAAAAAAACCCCTTGGTATTAGTTCTATACACTTAATAACGTACAGTTTCAAAACCAAAGTCCACTGAGTAACATAAAGATCAGGCATATCATTCAAGGTATTGGGCCCCTGGAAACCACTTGCCATCAAATTCCATCACTTCTTTATGAACATTGCAAGGTTTTCCAAGCACATCAATGAAATTTACATCCTATGTATTTTTTGCTACTTGTTCTGGGAAGGGTCCAATTTCTAAAGAATTGGTGTAGCAAAGTTGTTACCCAAACATTGTTAAGTCATCGCCATAATTCACTTTGGGCTTTTCTGCGATTTATCTAGTACCATGACTTTTTCTGTATTAAAAATAATATAATTCAATATAATTTAAAGTGTAACTACATATAAATTGATGAGTATAATTTGTTGTAAGTGAAATTTTATATATGTATATAGGTGCATACATACAGTCATGTAATACATACTGATGTTTTAGTCAGGAATGGAGTACATTCCCAACAATGGTGTCATATGATTATAATAGAGCTGAAAAGTTCCTGTCACCTAGTGCTGTCATAGTCATTATGCCATTGTATTGCAATGCATTACTCACATGTTTGTGGTAACACTAGTGTAAACAAACCTATTGCACTGCTAGTCATATAAAAGTATAGCACACGCAACTATGTGCAGCCCATAATAGTTGATAATGATAATTAATGACTAGGTTACTGGTTTATGTTTTACCACACCATACTTTTTCAATGATTATTTTACAGTGTACTCCCTCTACTTTTGTTTTTTAAAGAGTTAACTGTAAAGTAGCCCCAAGTAAGTTCTTCAGGAGGTATCTCAAAAGAAGGCATTGATATCCTAGGAGATGACAGCTCCACATGTGTTACTGCTCAGTGGAACAAGATATGGAGATGAAAGACAGTGATACTGATGGTACCAACCCTGGGTAGACCTATAGTAATTTGTGTGTTCGTGTCTTAGTTTTTAACGAAAAAATTTAAAGAGGGAAATAATGAAATAGCAGAAAGCTTATAGGACAAGGATATAAAGAAATTAATTTTGTTCAGCTGTACATTGTGTTGGTGTTTTAAGCTAAGTATTATTTAAAAAGAGTCAAAACTTAACAAAAAAGGTTTATAAAGTGTAAACATTACCATAAGCTAAGGCTAATTTATTATTGAAGAAATAAAAAGATTTTTTAATGACGTGTGTAGCATAAAAGTATAGTGTTTATAAAATCTACAGTAGTATATAGTAGTGTCCTAGGCCTTCATATTCGTCACTGCTCATTCACTGACTCGTTCAGAGCAACTTCTAGTCCTGCAAGCTTCATTACTGGTAAGTGTTCTATTCATGTGTACCATTTTTATCTTTTATATTATATTTTTACTGTACATTTTCTATGTTTAGATATATTTGGATACACACATATTTACCACGATGTTACAACTGCCTACAGTATTCAGCTTGGTATCATGCTGTACAGGTTTGTAGCCTGGAGCAATAAATTATACCACATAGCCTAGGTGTGCAGTAGTCTATACCATTTAGGTTTATGTAAATATGCTCCATGATATTCTCAGAATAACAAAGTTGTCTCATGACTCATTTCTTAGAACATATATCTGGCATTAAGTGACATATGATTGTATATATACTTCAGTAACAAGTGAAATTGGGTGGTAAAGATTCATAATTAAAAGCAAATTCTATGCACATAAAAATTCCATAGGCTAGGCATCAAATATATATGTAGAATTATTTTTCTTCTACTGTTTTGAAATTTAGAGTCTAGCTGATGTATTTTTCTATAAGTCTGTGTATACCTATGAAATAAATTTACAATACAAAAGTCATTTATGTCATTAAAAGTCCCTTTCTTGTATCCTCAGCTTCTAACAATGATGCTCATTATAAACAAAGTTTCATATGAATATATAAAACATTACATTACTTGGAATAAATTGTTTTTACTGACTTTATGAGAGTGTGCTAGGCTGAAAAGCACTTTACACTCATCTGTCACATTTCCTTTACACCCAGTTATCATGGAGCTTTGCTTGAATGGCTGTACTGTTTGTTCAATGTGAGTTTCAGTGATGATTACCTGAGAGAAAATTCATTTAAGCCAATCTTAAATGGCTTAAGCTTGCAGAACAGTGTAAAATCAATTTTACACTGATTTGTGTAGCTTCTCCTTTGATTCATAATCCAAACAATGAAGATCTCACTCCTACTTTAAGAAACTACCTGTATATTAATTATCTAACACTAGAATAGATACATGCATAATATCTTTCACAGCTTATCTTAAGGTTGTGTCTGCCAGTCTATCACCATATTCTGGGATGGGGGAAGATGCTGGAAGCTGGTTTTATCTGTTTCTTTCCTCACAAAATGAGTATATACCCAGGGCAAATTTTTAAAGTGTGGTTGGCAAATTTACAGAAGTTGTATGTTGTTTCTGTTTGATATGTAGTTTTACTTGTGAAGAGCACTGCCTGCCCTATAGTCTTGTAAAACAGCCAACAGAAATAGTTTCTACAAAACCCAATCAAGTAGACATTAACTGAAGTTCTAACAAGTTTATTTTATAAGCAAGTTCATACGTAGTAAGTCAATTATTCAATCAGATTGCTCTCTCTCCACCACCACTTAAGGGGATGGAATTTGCATGTAAGTACATCATGAGGGAATAATTTAGAGCATGAGTTTCAGAGAAGAACATCCCTATGAGAGAGGTAGACTGGGAAGCTTTGAGCAACCAAAGGGCCTAAGGATACAAGTGCTTTGGTATTGAGGATAAGGAGAGTACAAAAAGTAGGTTGGAAAAGTATAAAAAACAAACATCGTATAACTTGGTTGTGGTCCTCTGAGATCCCCTTAAAATTACCTACTCACTGCTCTCAGTAGTCTGTGCTGCAACCTCCCAAAAATGTGTGAGCTAAACAATGCAAACCAATAGTCATTTTTTTGTGGCTAATATCATCTGAGTCTAACATGTAATTTATAAAATTTTAATTATATTATCAAATTAGATACAAGGGGCTTGAGCTATACAGCAGCACTTATCAGTGACCATCCTAGGACATTTCCTAAACCTGTCTAAATTTCAGGTTCTGCATCTCTTAAGTGGGACTAAAAGTGCATGCTCCAGATTAGAAAGAAACACTACAAAGTTTATATTATAATACAATATGTTCTTATACAGAACTGGGACTAGGATGAGGCACATGAGGTCCCAGGGGACTATAATGTAAGGAAGCAATCACTTTCAGGGTTGATATCTGACAATGAGAGCCTCTTTAAATTTTTTTGCTTGAAATGTCTTGCTTGTCTCCCCTTAGTCCACATGTAATAGAATGTTGAGAAAGTATCATCATCGAGTGAGAACTAGAAGGAAATCTCTACAGGATGATAAGAATTAAACACTTACCCAATTAAATCATTCTGGAAAGAGTTACAACAGGAAAGTAAATAATAAAACGAACTTAAGAAATAATTCATGAAAATTAATCAGGTGAAAATAATAAATACTTTTGCTGTCAGAGATACAGAATAAGCAGCCAGATCTCAGAATAATCTTAAATCTTATCTGGTTAAAGTAAGTTTTGTTACTACCTATCTCATTTAAAGTGTTTTTTACTTTGTAATGGAATTACAAAGTAGTAACTTGAAATTACTGTTTACATTCAAATGGCCTGTATCCACATTTCTCCCCTATCTGAATTTTTGTCTCTCATTATTAGATAAATCCTTCTCATTATAATAAGAATGGTATTTATACCTCACCCTCTTTCCAAAAAGGTTGAGGTTTATAAAGAAAATTATACCTCACTCTTTTTTCAATGAAGGTTGAGGCTTATGAGGAATCAAAAGAAGAACCAAACAGACTAAAAGAATGCTATAAAAAGAAAAACTGATAGAATGCAGGAAGCAGAAGCAGGAAAATGTACTTTTTAGCAGCAGCAAATCCACATAGGAGTATGATCTTAGATGAGTCAGTTTACTTCTTTATATCAGTTTTGCCCATTTGTGAAACAGCTGTAATAAAAGTACCTTTCTCATAGTGTGGTTGTGAGTCTTAAATGGGTTATTACATGTAAAGCACTTAGAACAGGGCCTGACAGTGAGCATTCTGCTGATGTTGGCTACTACTGTATTTATATTAGAATTCTGTTAGGCAATCTCCATTCAAGCAAATCTTTAATTCAAGAAATATTCTGTACTTCTCCATATTACACTGCGCTAATGAATGCCTATCTTCTGCCTTACATTTATGCTCAATCTTGTTAAATTATATGGTTATTAAAAAATCACTGTTTAAAACTTATTTATTTCCCCTGTATTTGCTTTTAAAATGTTTGACTCATCAATTTAAGTAAATGTTACATAAAGCAAAATATAAAACAAATTTGGCTCATATATAAACACTAAGTCAAATTAGTTGGAAAAACAAGAGGTAGGCAAATGTTGAAACACACTATTAATAAAACACAACTTTGTCAAAGTATGGGGAAGAAATTGTAAATGTCCAGAAGGATTCCTCATTCAAATGGCTTTTTGAGTTAGCTTGAAGTCATCACTTTAAAAAGAAACAACAGCTAGAGAAATTAAACATGTTTCCAGTAAGATTATCCAAAAGGATATTGTAGAACTCAAGACATTGGAAACATGCACACAAAAAAAATGTTCTAGATGCTCCATCTAAATTTGCAATGCTTGAGCATTTCTATAATTTTTACCTAAGATAAAATATTCAAAGAATATATGTATTTTTATGATAACCTTCTTCAACCGAATTTCAATTAACTGATATCTCCATCTCTAACCTACTAGGAAAGAGACTTTCTATATTAATAGTAGCTTGGGGAAAAGAAATGGAAAGCTAGAAATTTAGGGCTGATCCAAGGTAATCATACAAGTGACATTTAGATTTTTCCTTTTTGGTGGTCCTTCCCATTATATCTAGGCAGGAAATGAGGCAGAATCAAATAGAAATGGTAGTCAGTTAAAAAAAAAAAAAAGCCCAAGAACCTTATCTTTTTCTCCTCAGAATTTCAGTTAATAAACACGATACACTGGTCTAAGAAATTCAAGCCCAAACCTCAATGTGCAAAATAATTTATATGACCTGAACAAAATGTAGTGCTCTACAAGACATAATAAAATAACTTTGTTTAAAAAAAGCATTAAAAAATCTGCCTTTGTGTTTTTTAACTGTGAATTCTAATATATAATGTTAGGTTATGACTTTATGCAGTGAATTCATTAATAGCAATTTATGTGGAAGTTTTGTTTTGTAAAGCAAATTGCACTGGAAATATATTAGAAATGAGTAAATGCTTCCATGCACATGGAGTAGAAGGAAGAGGAAATATTTAGTAGATATTTTTAAAGCTTAGAGACACAACTTAACGTGTCTCATATAATTTGCTTCAGTATTTGGTAAGAGGCATATATGTTCTGTGAATACACAGCTATCACACATTAGTAAAAAGATAAATATTCTTATATACTAGAGATAAGTTGGAAAAGTTATGAATAGAAAATTAATATAAATGCTGGATTAATAATATAAAAACTTGAACATTTAGTAGTGATTTTCAAAATGCAAATTTAAGCAAGGAGATAACCAATGTTGACAAAGGGAGGAATAACAGCGACACAACACAGCTTTGGCAATTAAAGTTTAAAAGTATTAAGAATATGCATGCCCTGTACACAAATATAGCAATGGAAATGACCACAGTTTATGCAACAATATAGTTACAAGCACATATTTTACACACAACAAAAAATTGTGTTGCACACAACAAAAAGTGTCCAATAGTAGGAATTTGGTTAAATAAGTTATGGCATTTCTACAAAGGAGATATGCAGCAATTAAAAGTGATGTTGCAATTGCATATTTAATAAAATAATTCTTCTACTACATTACTAAATTTCCAAATTAATATATTATATGAAATAGTCCATCTATATAAAAAGATAAGAAAAAAGAATGAAAAGGTCTTCATCAAATTTTTTCAATAGTGAAAAAATTAACATTGATTATCTCTGGAATGGATATTTTTAATGTTTTTAAATTATTTTGTTGTCAACTTTGTATTTTTCTGTTTTACAAATGTTATACAGGATCATGTATTAATTCAATAAACACATAAAAAACTTAAATGCCATAAACAATATATTATTATGCTTCAAATGTTCATTTCTTTGTGAAGCCTTATCCAGCTGGTAGTGATTTCTGTTTTCTTGAAGCTCCATCACATTTTGCTCCTATCACACATTTAGGAGTTAATCTATATTATCTCGTACTAAATCTACTGGTCAACACACTTATTTTCCTTAGTAGAGTTTCCCTTTCTGAACTCAAGGCCACACATATTTCTTATACTTCATTGAGTAAATGAAACATTTGAGTAGAGTTATTTGTACAATGATTATTTAAGGTGAATATTTACTAAAATTTGCCAGGCACTACTGTTAAGGCTTGGGGTTGATGGAAACCTGACACTATATTTCATCTCATGTGAGATAAATCAAGAAAAGAGGGAACTATAAAATGTTTATAAGTACATGGACTGATAACTCAGGAAGGAGCCAAACCCAGACTTTGGGGGCTCAGCAAAAGGTTTTCAGAGGAAATATATAAAGCAATCGATAAATGAATAATGAATTGGGGAAAATATGGTGACTGTGAAGTGTGATAAAAGTTTCGGGGAAAGGGAAGACCAACTACAAAACTTATAATTGACCAAGGGCAAAGAAGTTTAGAAAATTGAAAGTAGTTCCTGACCTGGGGAAATAAAACCTTGGGGGTGAACTGAGGCTAGACCATAAAGACTCTCATAAGCTTTTTTTACTTCTGCCCATTCTTTAAACAGTTGAATGTTAATTAATATTGCATAAATTAAATTCCTTCAGTTTGGTTAAATCGTTTTAGAAAAATAGTTCTTAAATTTCTTATTGTTCATTAAGAAATAGACTACACTGGTAAATAAAAATAATAAAGTGTAGCCTATTTTTCTATCTGGAAGTTGGGACTTCAAATTTATTTTTGCAAGATTCATAATTTTTAATATTTTTGTTTGCATTTGCTCTTGGGAGAAAATTATGGATATAAACTATTTATGATGCTTCTCACTTAGCTGGAAATTACTCAGGAAACACTTCATCAGAGTTAAATCCAATTTACAATAACTATTTTAATGGTCTTTTCAGTTTTTTATTTTAAATATACAGGTGACTCTTGAACAACACAGATTTGAACTGTACTATTCCACTTATACACAGACTTTCTTTTGCCACTGCCACTCCTGAAACAACATGACCAATCTCTCCCCTTCCTCCTCCTCCTCAGCATACTCAACGTAAAGCAAAGACTTAGAACCAACCCAAATGTCCATTAATGATAGACTGGATAAAGAAAATGTGGCACATATACACCATGGAATACTATGCAGCCATAAAAAAGAATGAGTTCATGTCCTTTGCAGGGACATGAACAAAGCTGGAAACCATCATTCTCAGAAAACTGACACAAGGACAGAAAACCAAACACTGCATGTTCTCACTCATAAATGGGTGTTGAACAATGAGAACACATGGACACAGGGAGGGGAACTTCATACACTGGGGCCTATCGGGTGGTGGGGGTCTAGGTGATGGATAGCAGGGGGTGGAGGAATAGGGGAGGGATAGCATTAAGAGAAATACCTAATGTAGATGACAGGAGGATGGGTGCAGCAAACCACCATGGCAAATATATACTGATGTAACAAACCTGCATGTTCTACACATGTACCCCAGAACTTATAGTAATAAAAAATAAAAATAAAAAATAAATTAAAAAGGGAATTAAACTTTCTCCCAACTAAAGAAAACAACACAAAAAAAAAGATGATGAGGATAAAGACATTTATGATGATCTACTTCTACAATGCAATATCATTTCTCTTCCCTATGATTTTCTTAATATTTTCTTTTACTAGCTTACTTTATTGTATAAATGGAGCACATAATACCTATAACATACATAATACATGTTTATCAACTATTTATGTTATCAGTAGGGCGTCCAGTCAACAGTAGACTATTAGCAGTAAAGTCTTGGGGGAGCCAAAAGTTATAGGTGAGTTTTTGACTGTGTTTGGGAGGTCAGCATTCCTAACTCCCATGTTGTTCAAGGGGTTACTGTATTCTGAATTGTCTTTGAGCTTAAGTCATAATCCAGGTATAGTGAAAAACATTGGTATTTATATTTTAAAATAATATAGGTAAGACTTTTTAAAAATTATATATTTTTCCTACATGTTATTTAGGAAGAACTTAAGATGGAATTACGTAAGAAATATGTAAGACTTTAAATTTGACCTGGCATCAGAATCTAGTATTGGAAAGGAAAATGTGTAAATAGAAATGAAGCAAACTATTCAGAACTGTTTAAGTTCATGCATAAAAGTTATACTTAAGTTACTTTTCTGCCTGAAAACAGCAATAAAGCAATATGACTTTTTAATATTTTACCTATTGCTAAAATTTATCTCTTTCTCCTATATTTTATTATGCTATATAAGATCTGAGATTTGGGAAACCTAGTAATTATCAGAAATAATATGGCTTATGAACAAAATATATAATTTAGAAATGGAATAAAGAAAGAATGAAATATTATTTGCGAGTTTTTTGTTTGAATTTGCCATCATGTATGCCTTTTTTGTCACATTTGGTTCTTTTCTAGTATTAGGATAGGTAAAAATGTATGAGATGATTAGGAATTTATAACTGAAAAACAAACAGATTTTGAAGAAAATATATTCCAGATATTCCATTTGGTATTTATAAAACACCAAACTCATGTAATTTCATAATTATAAAAACTTCTTAAGAAATAGGGAGTTAGAAGACATACAAGTAGCCAACAAACATATAAAAACTCTCAATATCATTAATCATCAGATAAATGTAATTAAAACCACAGTGAGATACCATCTCACATCAGTCAGAATGACTATTACTAAACAGTAGAAAAGACAACAGATATTGGCAAGGGCACAGAGAAAAGGGAACACTTATATGCTGTTGGTGGGAATGTAAATTAGTACAACCTCTATGGAAGGCGGTATGAAGATTTCTCAAAGAACTACAACTAGAACTAGCATTCAACTCTGCCATCTCACTACTAAGTACCTACCCAAAGGAAATGAAATTGTTATATCAATATCAAAATAATGCCTGCACTCATGTTTTTATCACAACATTACTCATAATAGCAAGTCATGGAATGAATCTAAGTGTCCATCAGTGGATGACTGGATAAGTAAAATGTATATACACACCATTAAATACTATGCAGTCATAAAAAAGAATAAGCTAATTTCTTTCGTAGCAACATAAATGGAACTGGAGACCATTATCCCAAGTGAAATAACTCAGAAACAAAAACTTAAATTGAACATGTCCTCACTTGTAAGTGAGAGCTAAACAATGGGTACATGTGGACAAGTAAGGAAATAACAGACACTGGGGACTCCAAAAGGGAATAGGGTAGTAGAGGATGAAGTTTGAAAAATTACCCATTGCTTTCAACGTTCACTATTTGGGTGATGGGAACACTGGAAGCCCAAACCTCTCTATTACATAATATACCCATGTAATGAAATTGTATATGTTCCCCCTGAATCTATAAAAATAAAAAAATATTAAAATTAAAAAATGAAGTAGTCAGTTAAGCTTTGTATCTTTAGTAAGCACTAATACTTATACATCTCCTGAGAAATTACCTGGGGGAAAGAGAAAGAAAGTAGGAAGGAAGAAAAGGGGAGGGAGGGAGGGAGGGAGGGAAGGAAGGAAGGAAGGAAGGAAGGAAGGAAGGAAGGAAGGAAGGAGAGGAAAGAAAGGAAGGAAAGAAAAGGGGAGGGAGGGAAGGAAGGAAGGAAAGAAAAGGGGAGGCAGAGAGGAAGGAAGGAAGGAAAAGAAAAGAAGGAAGGAAGGAGGGAGGGAAGGAGGGAGGGAGGAAGGAAGAAAGGAAGGAACAAAGGAAGGAAGGAGAGAAGGAGGGAGGGAGGGACAGAAGGAAGG